CTAGCTTCCTGCTGCCACCTTTGGAGCCATCCTCCTCCACTCTCAAAATCCCCTCGTCTTGGGAGACTCAGCACTCCTGACTCCACTACTTTCTCTCCTCATTGTCATCTTCCACTCTCATGACTCTTCCTGCACAGCCATTGAGGCCTCTGGAACCTGAAAACAATCATCTTCTCTGTGCCAACTCTTCATTCATTTATTCATTCAAATATATTCTGAGCCATACCCTATGCAAGGTACTGTATGAGGCGCTAGGGATACATTATTGAACAAAATAAAATATCTATTTTCAGGAAGCTTATGTGTCAGGAGCAGGGAATACAGGAAGAGGATACAGACATAAACAGATAAATCTGTAATCTGACAGGTGGTGGTTTATGCTTTGAAGACAAATACAGTGAGGTGGATAATGAGTGATGAGGACATGCAGGGGAGGTCAGAAAAAGCTACCCCAAAAGAGTAGATTTGGAGAATGAGCCAAATGTGTGAGCAACGCCTGGAGGAAAAGCAAGGTAGGGTGAGGGGACAAATGCAGGCCTGAGATAATTAAGTGGAGGGGAACATGCTAGGGGATGGGATCAGAGCGGCAGGCAGAACCAGATTAGAGGGACCATTAGACAACAGTCAGCAATTCAAATATTATTTGGAGACAGATGGGAAAGCACGGAAGGCTTGAAGCAGAGGATTGGCTTGACTAGGGTTTGAAGGAATCAGTCTGACTGCTCTGTAAAAAAAGACCTGTGTTTTGGGCAATGATAGAAGCAGGGAGACCAGTTTGAAGACTACGGCCATAGTCTGGGTGAGAAACGATGACCTGGTTGGAGAGGGAGGAGGGGGTATAAGCAGTGGTCAGATTCCAGGCACGTCCTAACGGTAGTACCAACAAGATCCCTGAAGTGTGATGTGAGAAAAAGTCAAGGATGACTCCTGGGAAGGCTTTTGGCCTCACCAGATCAAGGGACAGAGTTGAATTTTACTGAGATAAGGATGCCTGGAATGGAGGCGATTTGAGAGGGAAATTAAGAGTTCAGTTTTGGACAAGTTAAGTTTGAGACGAGATGTAAGAGATCACCCTTGGTAACTTAAATATTACTGTGGTTGACTTCCTATCTAGGATCAGGGTTGGTAATTCAAACACTTACAGGGGACAAGTAGGAAACATAAATAAGTACTGAAATACAATAAGGAGGGGTAGGGACTGTGGCTAATTAGAAAGTAAATGCTCCATCTAAAGGGGAAGCCACTCCTGAGCCCAGTCTATGATACCATTTGGAATCTGGGACCAGTGTTCCCAGATACTCCAATTTCTTAATAGAAAGAAAAATCTGGATTTTTAACAATCAACTCCTAAGGAAATGAAAGGCTAACTGCCTTATCAATGTCCTTAATTTATTAATGTACACTGCAAAAAGAAATTGTGTTTAGTCTCTAACCTAACCTCTTTCATGCAGTATCTCAAGGGACAAACATTTCTTGGCACATACTTTGAGAAATGCTGATTTATGCATAAATCCTAGATGTTTGATCAATCCACTTATTTCTCTGTTAAAAATTTTAAGGCATACATTCCTTGCAGCTTATGAGTCACAGCAGATCACACACACACACACACACAGCCAGTTTTGTTAGATGGTTTAACATCTACTATCAGCCTTGAACCAAATGTAAATGGAGCAATTACTAACATCTTCCAACCTGTTAGATACTAGGTGGCACCTTGACCCTCTTATGTTGGTAAAGAAACACGGAGTGAAATCACAGGGGTGCTGGGTCACTTCATGTCCCAACTCCTCCTGCTCCTTCACTTGCTGTCTATATAATGTCGGGTCAGGAAGGACAGCCAGTCACCGCTGTGCACCTGGCAGGTGTTCTCTGTTTGACTCATCTGTGAGGAAGGAAGAAGGGAGAGGACAAATAAACCTGGAATGGGAAATTTGTAATCAAAAGACAAGACCAATATTGTTGCAGGTCTTTAAAAAGATTCCCTAGGGTAGTTAAAATACTCAAGTGCAAGGCTTGTCTCTGAAGAACTGGAGTGTATAGTCTGTTTAAAAGAGCTCACAAGTACACTGGAGGAGAGCAGTACATGAAAAGATAAACACTATAAAATTGTCAAATATTATCATAAAGTTTTTTAAAAAGTCAGAGAAGGGACAGTATCAAATGGGTCTGAGGGATCAGTGAAATTGTCACATGAGCCAGTCCTGGGAGAACAGGGAGGTATCAGGTCCAGAGGAGGGTGGTGGGAATTCCATGCAGCAAAGATAAGGATGGAGACGGAGATAATGCAGTTTGAGGAGACATGTGCAGACAAGATTGCTTATACAGATTGTGTGGAAAATGGGACACTGAGGCTGGATCAGATCACGGTGGTCACTGGACACCAAGTAAAGAAATATGGCCTTCATCATGTAGATAACCACGAGTCCTCGAAGGGCTGTAAGCACAAATCTACCATATTAGGGCGATTCGATCTGGTGCGGCCCTAAGGGAGATGGTGAGGCAAGAGCCTGCGGCAAGGTCCCAGGTGGAGATGGTGAGAGTCTGGGCTAGGGAACAGTGGGAAGAGAAAGAAATTTTGGTATTAAGAAGGAAGAAACAGTCAGTAGGATTTTTAACCTACTGAATGTGACACAGGCAAAGGAGAATGCCATGGCTTTGACTCCGGGTCCAAGAGAGAACCATTATCCTGACAGCAAACTGGTTTATCCATACTGATTTAAGGTGACGGTGGTACATCTAAGGTAGAAACACTCACTTAATTAGTGATCTAGGACCAGAACATGGGAGACCAGCAAATAATGCACAGTAGGGTTCCACTGTATTCTCAGTTATGTGCTAGATCCTTTACCCATATGATCAAGGTAGGAGAGAAATAGGGGTGGATTTTGCAATTTGGCACCATGTGCATATAGATGGCAGTCGAATCAGGGGAATGGTAATGTTCAGTGAAGACCAATTTTTCACACTTTCTCTATGTCCCTTTACTCTGAAAACAGTCATCATACAAAAGTATGATGCATATAAAAAAAACTGCATCATATTCTATCACAGGATCAGTCAAAATTTTGATTTCCACAGGTTAATACAGGATTCTCGGAAGGAAAAAAGAACTGTAATTAGTCATTATCCTTTTATCCCTTGAGGGAGATGAGCAGACATAAATAGGAGGCAGGAAGGAGCCAGAGGAGAAATTATTTGGGAGAGTTCCCACCTGCTGAGATAAGCAGGAATGAAAATAAACTCGCTCCTTAAAAAATAATAACCATCTCTTAGCTTTCTAGAATTCATTATCAATTTACAGACATGCTACTTTATTCCTATCATAAAACTTTCCATTCACAAACCAGCCGGGACTCACATGTGCCATCTTGAAATTCCCTCTGACAGACCAGGGTCCCAGTTTGCCCCTGTTTTTTTTCACACTAGCCCTGGAGCTCAGGTGCAGCATGCAGATCAACCATGTGTGGCGGACACTTCCATGGCAGTTATCAGTCTTTTTCATTTGCCACAATTCTCCAGGGTTAGCTGGGTTGATCCCTGCTTTCCCTCAGCATCCAGGATGGCCATGCTCCTTAAAGTGTCTTTCAATTCAAACGCCCATGGTGAGGAAAAAATGGAGAAGCCACAACAAAAATGGACAGAGGGGCAGGTAAAGGGTAGACTGAAACTGCAAACTTAAAAAGCAGCTCAGAATGCTGGGGTTATGTAATATAAATGTATTTTCATTCATGGTTCTCTTGACTTCTTTTACTCTATCACAGCAATGCAAGAAATACTATAACTGTGTTATCACAGCTTTTGTTCACATAACTGCTTCTTTTGAATAGAAATTAGATATTCTCCTTGAATGTTGTAAGAAAGGGACACCAATGTCAAAAATTTCCCAAAACCCATAGTTCAAATGTCTGCCTCAGAATCTGTGAAAGTTACACACATTAAGCATCTTATGATTCTTACAGAGTCCCTGTTATCTCTTGCTAGAAGTAGAGAGGGAGATCTGAGAGGGCTTATAGACTGACGGTTCCCTAAGGAACACCCTTAAAAGTACATTCCCACCATGCAGAGTAGTGAATTCATATCTAGAACTCACTCTCTCCAGACCCAAGTCTATACTGTGGATTTGCAAATAACTGATGCTTATATTTCTTGAAACCAGGCAATATAACCTTGAGCTCATAATATCGGGAGGAAAACCCTGAGAGAATGTTCATTAATTGAATGTCCCCCAACAGGAAAGTTTTTATAATGAGTTAACACCACCTGTTTATTTTGAGTATCTAGTTACACAACAAAAAATCCTATCACAAGATATTATAATGGCAAATAGCAATATTTAGATAGGTACCGGGCAACACAACCACCGCTTTTGACAATGAAAATAATTCATATGACTAATCCCCACACAACTCTGGCAGAATAACCACTGAAAGTAGTAACAAAGTAACTCTGTAAACAAAAATGATTTATAGAACTGGCTCAGTGGGATAGTTAAGCAACAATAAACTACTTTTTTCATTCATTTTAAACATCATCTGAGTTCCCACTGCCCTTAATTCCCTGATACTACAGTTTTATTTGTATCCTAATTCCTGAATCTGACTGTTGGCAGACTCCATAAAACACCAAACAGCAGTCAATGCATGGCAGGCCAGTGAGAGACTTGTAGGAAGAAGACCTTTGCATGTTCAGATCCCTTTCCTCCTCCATGAATGAAGACAGGAAGAGCAGAACATTCAAGTTCCTGCAGCTGGCTCCCCTCTCTAGGTACAGACAGTGCAGAGGAAACCGCAGTGCTTTTCCTAACTGCCCTTCCTGTGGTCTGCACTCTAAGAAAGGGTCCTAAATAGCATTGTCACAACATCATCCAGTAGATCTACAGAAAATGTGGGTTTTCCTGTAGAATAAAAAGCTTCACAACAAAATTTCAGATACTGTCATATCTTAATGGGGCTGTATTTGCATAAAATAGTAAAATGCACTTTCTACTCTTCTCTTACCTGCCGACTGTCCCTTTGGGAGGATGTTGAAGAAGAGGCACTTCTATGGGTTGGAGTGGATGTTTTATGAGCAGGGGATATGCCCTTCTCGTCTGAACTCATAGCTGCAGGTACAGTCAGTTGTAAGCACTTAAGATCATCCCAGTTGTGTCTCAAATTCACAGACAAAGAAGTAGATGACTTTTCAGCTTCAGTCCATTTCATAAATCATGTCTGACTAGAAAAGACAGGCAAATATTGAAGGTGTCCCAAACACCTAAAAGCAAAACAAACCAAACACCTCATGTTAAATAATTAGAACACAAGTGAAAAATTATTATGTTTAGGAAAAAAATCCCTAAAATGTTAGTGACAGAAGAACTCTGACACATAAGGAAATATTATTTCTTCCTCTAAATTTTAAGATGGAGGCTAACATGTGACAAAGGTCTATCAGCAAGAAAGAAGAGACCACACACTAAAGTCATAGTCTTCCCTTATATTCTCTTTGTTTTAAAGCAGATTACAATACTATGTTCTAGACCCTCATGCCAAACTAGCAGTTTCTTTCCCCAAGTTAAATGCCCAGTGGATTATAAGAGCTAAGGCCATGTTTGTCTTCTGTTTAGTTCAGCTATGTCATGTATATATGATGGTTAGATCCAACATAAACAGTCAGCAGACACAAAAGGATTTATGCACTTAGTGCATCACATGATCCAGCCTTTAGGAAGGATTGAGGAATACACACACTAACAGTTATCTGCACCTCAAGACCAGAGCTCACCTAATATGATTCTCAACTCAACAATCAACGGGCTCTCAAGCATCTACAGACTGACAGGATTGTTTTGGAACCTGGGTAATGCTTAGTGTTGCTTCACTTACACACAACCAAGAGCCACTTCATTTTTCACTTGGATTCATAAAACAAAAACCTCCATTAGTACTCTGGCCAAAAACTTGTGCCTGAGAAAGGCATTGTTCAATTGGCAACAGAGGTTGCTAAAAAAATTTTTTTAAGGTAAGCAGGATAATGTAAGATGAAAAGCTTACCCCACAATCCATGACCCAAAAGACTGACCACTAAAGTGAACTTTATCTTATAAGAAAACAGAAGACCAAGCTGTAGCCTCCATCTTAATGATCATATGCTTAGAAGGAAGCCCTGAGCATCTGGTAAGTACTTCAGCACAGTTTGGAAGAGAAAGCTGACGATGATGATGATCAGAAATCAATCTTTAGGCCAAAGAAAAGTGAGACCTGAACTTCGGTCCAGAGGGACAGTCAATCAAAAAATAAAAAACGGAATAAGATGTTGGAGGACACCGGCAAGGGCGACTAATGGTCTGGTGGCCAGAGGCATCCCTGAGCAAGTGGGTTGGAGCTGAGACCAGAAGGATGAGCGGGATTAGTCCAGTGCCTGGGTGTCCAGCCTGGCGTGACCAAGGAATCAGTGCTGGCCAGTATGATGAGGGCAGAGGGATGGTGACATGAAGGTCTCAGAAAGGCAGAGGCCAGTCCCTGCAGGGCCTTGTTAGCCATGCTCAGCATTTTGGATTTTATCGTAAGCCCAAGAAGCCCTCCAGGAGTGGTATAACAAGATTTGTGTGCTTGAAAGGATACTTTGGTAGCCATGAGGATAACCAAATGGGGAAACAAGAATGACGGAGGCCCAGTGAGGAAGCACAATGGACTAGAGAGGTGGTAAGCAATTCAGCACCTTGTCCTGTGGGTTGGGACAGGATGTGGAGGAGGAGGAAAAGAGAGGGGTGGGGGTGACTCTTAGGTTTCTGGCGTTCTGAGTATGGGCTGACAGAGGTCCTGAGTATGATTTCAGAAAGGAGTTTCCAGTACAAATGAGGCACTCAAATGGTGACAACTCTTAGAAAGGTAGGTCGGATGCTCACAGAACTTTAGGCTGCAGACAAATGTTAATAGATTATGCTAACGGTACAAAGTATCAAGTGATTTATATACAGACCGTGTTAACTCTGTGAGTGCAAGCAAATTTAATACAGTGCTACAGTTCTATTTTTTAAATGTGCAAGATTACGTTAATGGTTATGTGACCCCAAATGTGCTCATTAGGATTTTAATGGTCACGTGGTTATAGAGAATATTCAGTAATCAAAAGGCAAATTATCGTAAGTTGGGAAAATGGACTCTCTAGTGACTATGTCACTACCACTTATCCCAAACACTGGAAGGCTTTTCTTGAAACAAAACTAGTCTTTGAGCTAACAGAAATGTAGAGCGGTAGAGCTCTTTCCTTGGCTCAAGATCAGGTTTCATTCAGTACTGGCAAAAAGTAGTAGCGAGCTGCTACTTGATAGGTGACCATCTCATCTTTTTTGTTTCATGAAGGTTGTCTAATTAAAGTGTGAGTAAAATTTCTGAAGCCAACCTCTTGCCAGCAAACAGAAAGAAAGGGCAGTGCTCAGATCCTTGACTGGAAGTACTCTTCTCTCTGGTCCAAGATGCTGATACTTGAGCTAAAGGTATGGAGCTTCTGCGATGTATGTGCTCAAGTGGCCTCAAAGGATGAGGCTGAGACAACCAAATTCATTAAACTGTTACCCATCTGGAAGTCAGGTCAATCCAAGCTACCTCAAAGGCTAGCATTTCCTCTTTTGGATTTTTTTTTTCTTTTCTTTACTGCACTCATTAACACCAATGCTAACACCTTGATTTTCGTTTTAATTTAAAATGACATTTTCAGAGTAACTTGTCTATGATGAAAGGGTAACATTTTGGTTGAATTACAATTATGAGTATCTTGAATAATATCAAGGCTGAACTGAAGTTGAGTAAGAGAATTTAATTCATTCCAAGAATCATTTTGGGGGGTTACCATTGTTGTTTTTATTAATTTTTTAATTTTTTTAAAACAAAGCTTGTACCTACTTATTTTTTATTCCTAAAGTATAAAAATTACTGAGACACTTAAAACAATTATTTCCTTTTTATCAAAGCACACTTTCAGAAACTGCCTACAAATCTAAACCAAAGACCACAGATTTTAAAGTCAACACTAACATAATTCCTGACCTCAATGAAAAAGGTAATGTGGCTGAACATAACAGCAATATGAAAGCTGAACATCTAATTTTCCTGTCTCGTTCCCTGTTCATATCAGTGGGATCACTAAAATTGTTTCTAAGTGCAGTAACATGCATTTACACTGTGACAAAAAAATTCAGATTTATGACCCAGAGACTTAACTAAAAGCAAAAGGTGGCAGGGAAGATGTCTAGAACTCGCTATTCACAGGCATCATAAATTGTATATGTTCAGAAAAATATCTGAAATTGGACCCTACATAACCCAGTCTAAGTTGTGATGTGATAACATACAACCCCAAAGTCTCAAGGGCTTACAAGGTTTATTTCTTACTCATTTACACATCCTTCAGAAGAGCTGCAGTCCTATTGTGTATCATTCCAGGCTGGAGGAGCAAGCCCTGAGTGGTGAAAGCAGAAAAGGTACTGCAGAACCAGGACACAGTTCTTAAAGTTTTTGCTTTTTGGTGGCACATGCCACTTTCACTCACATTTATCGGTCAAAACAAGTCACATGGCCAAATTGAGGCGAATGATGGATGAAGGGTAATGCTCCTAGAGGGAGAGGCTGTGAACACTAATATAACCTACTATATTCACCACAGGAAAAGTTCAGATGAAAATATTCAAATTGACTCTAGTTTTATCACCTAGAAATAACCCTGTTTTAACATCTTGATTCCACTTTAACCAAAGTAGGAAGATAATACCTGCAATCTACTTTATTCAATCCACAGAATATTGGTAACAGCCTTCCTTTTGGACACAGACACTTCCAAATTGCCACTCTTCAGCCCTACATACAAGGCCACCACACAGATATACCACAACACCCTGAACCATTCTTTTGTCGGGACACTTATTGTATTCAGTTTATCTGGGAACAGAGTGATTTATCATGGAGGTTCATTATAATTCTATATTCACTTTTGATCATTACAAAAATGGCCCATTTTTTTCATTTTAGTACTTTTTTGCTGTGTTTGATATCACCTGCTCTCTTTTCTGTTTCCAAGTGATTAATGAAATTTGTCCATCCTTTAACACTTAAACTTTCTGTATCATTTTGTACTATCATGTCCTTTAGTAATAATGATCATGTTGGGTTATTTCTTAAAAAAATCAAATTTTAGTGAAGTTTTTCCCATTTTCATTTAATGTTATAAATGATAGCTGATGTATCATTTTACACTTTTTTTTGGCAGAGGTGCTTCTTTGCTTCCTTTAATGCTTGATGGCTTTTCCTTTATAATCTGCCTTTCTATATAATATGGATTTTGATATGGTTTCAATGGATTTATATTTGCCATTAATTTGAAAGATATAATTCCCTTTTTAAAGTTCTACTGCTGTTTCCCATCAAGTCTCTCTCAATAATGCTGGAACCTACAGTCTGTCAGGAACAGAGCCTCCTTACTTAAGAGTAAAGAGTAGAGACAGTGAGGTGTCAAAGGAAGAAAGTGTGGCAAATTCCACTCGTTTCCTCCAAACTGGACAGACAGGTAATAGGCTCACCACAGATTAATAGTGTTCTGAGGCCATCAGTGCTCTCCTGGCAGGACAAGTAAATGGCCTTTCCTTGCCCTCTGCAGGTTTCTTCAGTCTTGGCTTCTGAACAGCATCATGGACATGTTCCAACACACCCCCAAGCATAGCCTCCCCTCCCCAAGCTGGCTTCTGGGCAGTCACTTACAAAAGTAAGGAGGCAAAAGTATACAAAGAAACAAAGTCTCTAATTATGACTGACTAATTATGACTCTACAACCACTGAATGGGAGAATATATTTGCAGATGATATATCCAACAAGTGGTTAATATACAAAACACATAAATAATTCATACAACTTAACATCAACCCCCCCCACAAATAATCCAATTAAAATAATGGGCAGAGGACCTGAAACGACATTTTCCAAAGAAAATATATAGATGGCTAATAGATGCATGAAGACTCTAATCCCTCCCTACTCTCCTCAAGCTCTTTACTAAGTAAATGAATATGACAAACCTACAATCTTCATCACCCAGACCTCCACAGTGAATTTTAAGAGAATCTGAATGCTAACCAAGTAAACATGAAGGATGCCAAGGATAAATGGCACAAATAATCTTTTGACAAAGAGTAGATCTCTTTGTCAAAGAAAAAAAAGAAAGTGTGTGTGTATAAAACACTACAAAAAAGTATTCCTCAACAGGAGACAAAATTATTAGATGC